AGACTATGTAATACCTCCAGGGAGTCAGTGCAAGCTGGGGAAGAGGGCGGGGCTTCTGCATATTTGACACACTTCCGGGATTTAGGCCTGGAGGAGGTAATAGGAGGCCAGAGGAAGATGTGGGGCTGTGCACATGTGTGTGTTCCATGTGGGTACATCAGTGCCAGTAAACGCCCTGGTGTGACACAAGTGTAGGGGCTAGTTCTTCGGATAACGATGGCGGTGAACTTAAAACAAACATACAGAAAGTTGGTGGCTGCAAACCTTGGTCCCGGCTGTGCCCCGGGACCTGGATTGAGCGGGTGGTCTCAGACATGTGGGAACAATTGAAGCCTCCATGGGTCTGAGCTTGCCCTGGCTCTCAGTCTGGGAAGGGTGACTCCTTTTGAAAGTCATTGAGAGGAGCCGCAGGTAGGGGGGGCTGTGCCACCACTGTTGAGGTTCTTGGTTCTGAGCTAGGATGGAGGGCGTGATGGTGCTGGGCGATTCACATGGGGTTTTGCGGAGCCCCAGGTGCAACTGGTACCAGGTGGGTGCTGTGTTTCGCTCCGGCTGCGCGCCCCCGTGTGGCTTTGCAAGGCGGTGAGCTGAGTGCGCAGGGCCGGGGCTTTGCATTAAGCAGCTGGACCCCTTGGAGCAGAGGCAGGGTCAGGGTAGCCTGGCGGAGCGCAGTTGGAGATGGGCGTCCCTGGTGTCCGGGTACCGGTGCCTACGCGGCCGCGGACTTCGCCATGGGCCTCAGCTGAGTCTTCCCGGGAAGCGGTGGCGCTAGAGGCCGGGTATGGAGGGATGGGGAAGAGAGCCTCTCAGGGCTCTTCATGCTCCAGACTTCAGTCCTGGACCCTAGTGGTGTAAGAATGGCTGAATGAGCGTGACCGCTGGCGTCCCTACAGCCCAGCTGTGAGCCACCACTTCAAGGTCGTGGTGCGCGCTCGTCCCTGCGCCGGGGGCAGCGTGGTGCTGGGGCAGGTGGAGAACCAGATCGCCCCCTACATCACCGACCTGTAATCCAGGATCCAGTTCCGCCAACATCCCTGGTCTGTCTGCCGTGACTCACCCAGTGTACAGCTTTGCTTACTGATGTCAGTGATAGGTGCTTAGAGCAGGTGTTTCTCTTCCCTAGATCCTCACAGAATCCCAAGATCACCTCCAAGTAAATGGCCTTGCAAGCATTTTAAAGAGTCTTGATTATGCAAACCCAGCTTCAGCATAGCTGCAGGAGACCCCTTTATGCCCCCATCCCCCCACCCCGGGTCCCCTCGGAGCCCTTTGTGCAGGAACTCTAGGCCTTTGAAGCTCCCAGGAAATGCTGACTCTTCAACAAGATACTGATGAAGCCCCTTGACTGCTCACTCCTCAGCTGACTCTGCTTTGCCTCAAGCACCTTTGGGACTACCGTACACTCCCCCCGCCCCCCTTGAAGCTGTCTGACTCCGGCCCTTTTCTATGGACCCTGCCTTCCCACTGACAGCTCCTGGATGTAAGTCTTGGGAAGCCATAGGGATTCCGAGTCTCTAATTACAGTCTAATGTGTGAAAAGTGCTGGAAAATAACTAAGAAGAGAGATTGGAGCCAGAGATTCCAGAGCTGGAGCATCCTGGATGTGGTGGAGAGAAGAGGGGGCAGGATTGGGCTCTAGTATGCCTGGCAGAGAAACTGCTCCCTTTGTCCACAGAGTACAGGACAGAGTTAACGTTCTGCAACATTCTCCAACAGTGGAGAATGTCTCTGCCAGTTATGCCTCAGACAGGGTCTTGGTATCTAGAATATATAAAGAACAACAGTAATTAAACTCCAAAATGACCAGTCAATAAATTGGCCAATGAATGGAAGACATGGTTCACAAAAGTAGAACCACAAATGGACACCAAGGATTAAAAAGGTGTTCTGCATTCTTTGTTACCAAGGGAATGAAAATTGAAGCTACATTTTAGATTCCATCTCACCCCAGTGACAATTACTACTACGATAAAGAAAAGAGCCAACAATGCTGTTGAGGATGTGAAGAAAGAGGAATTCTTAGTCTTTGTTGGAGGTAATGTAACCTAGTACAGCCATTATATAAATTAGTATATGTTTCTAAAAAATAAAAAAACCAGAACTTCTCTATGACCCAGATATACTTCTGAGTAAGTGCCAATGTATATGTATGTATGCATATGTGTGTGTGTGTGTGTGTGTGTGTGTGTGTGTAATATCCCACCACAGAGATACCCGCACATCCACTTTTATTGGTTCTCTATTCACAATAGCGAAGGAATGGAACTAGCCCAGATGGAGCCAACAAATGAATGGATAAGGAAAACGTGGCACATACATAAATGGAATATAATCAGCTGCAAAGAAAAAAATGAATTCACATAACTTAGAGGAAAATGAATGAATATGGGAATTAGAAAAAAAAACCCTCCAGATTTAGACAGACAGCACATCTCCCATATGCAGACCCTCGCTTATAAAGTCTGTCTGTCTGTATATAAGTTGGGGTGAATTCTGTGATTGCAGGCTCTGAAATCAGAAAAGAGCACACAAGGAGGGAAAGGAAGTGTTGCAGAAGCGGAGGGATGGCACAGGGGAGATAAATGTGGAGATGGAGGATGTGTGTAAGGTACAGCAAGGGGTTAGGGCATGAGGGGCTGGGAGAGGTGAAGTGATTCAACAAAATAAATTTTGTCTGAAACTGGAACAATAAAACCTAATTCTCTGTGTTAATTATTAATTAAAAATAAACTATTTAAAAAATAAAACTATGAAAACTGAGAAGTATATACAAAGATGCCTCTTGTGTTGTTTTTTTAAAATAACAGTAAGGTTTTGGGGGGTCCTAAATTTCAAAAACAGAAAAATCGTTAAATAAATCATGAATTTCTGTATCCTAATTCTGATCATTAAAGCTAAGTCTAAAAATAATTTTCTTTCCCTTCCTCCTTTTTCTACCTTCCCTCTCATCTCCACACTCCCTTTGCAATGTAGTTGCAAAGTTTTCAGTTATCCCAATACTCAGACTTCTTTCTAGATGCTATTACTCAGTGGATTCACTTAAGGAGTGTCGACATCAAATTTTGAACCCAGAGAATTGACTTCAGGTTTTTGTGCTTCAGTGGGATTTTGATAGTGTTCATAATGCTGTGTAAAAGAAAAACTAGAAAGCTATCCAAACTTTGCTCTGCTAAAAATCACACAGTAAGTGAAGTATTGGAGTTGCTGTGTTTCTTTTGATTTCTGGATCCTACCTGACACTGGCAAAAAGGAGCAGATTTCAAATCACTGACCAGCAAAATATTGACTAAAGTTGGTTAGTTAAGAGCTTACACGAGAGATGGTTGCTGATACACTGCCTGCCATGTCATTAGAAGGGCTTAAGTTCTGATCTCCAGCACTCAGTTAAATGTGGGACACAGCTAAGCATGCTTGTTATACCAGAGCTGGGAAGAGGGAAACAGGAGGAGCTCCTGGGCTTGCTGCCCAGCCAGTCTTACCAAATTGGAAAGTTCCAGGTTCAAAAAATAAGATAGAGAGCCACTGAGGAATACACCTAATTTCTGGCTTCCACATGTATATACACAATGACATGAGAACTCCTCACTATGTAGAGGAACATGGATACATGTGTGTGTGCTTGCGTGAGCACACACACACACCCTATTTACATTTAAGTATCAATGATCACCTTCAGCAACTCAGAAAAAAAATGTATTCATATGAGGCTAATTGATAGAGATTCACAGGAATATATACTGATCCTTGAGAAAAGGGATATATTTTGTTTTCTGTGGATACATATACCCAAATGTATGTATATGTGCATACAGGTACATACACATTCACATATATGCATACAGATATGTAAATACATTGTTGTAAAGTCTGCATAACATCGTTTTAATTCTTGTAAGTGTGCAATGTTAAATATATCCACAGGATTTTTGCAATTATCCCCAACTATATCATCATTCTCTAACGTGACCGCTTTACCTACTAAACAATAACTTCTAACCTCCTCAGCTCTTTGTAACCTCTCTTCTACTTTCTGTGTCTGTGAATTTACTTCCTCTACACGGATCTCCTAAGTCAGATCATATGGTAATTCTCTCCTGTGTGTCTAGCTTATTTCACTTAATACAATGTAGTCTGGATTTATCCATAGTATACCAAATATGAAACTTTTATGCCTTTATGGCTAAATAATATTCCATCAGATGCCCCTAATTCCTGGTCATCTGCCTTCACAGCTCAGTTTCTGAGTGGCAATGGGATTTCTAGGAGCAAAAAGTTGTCCAGTCTTTTGGGAAAGAGCCCCAAATGTACAAAGCTAACTTCCCAGTTACAGAGCTGATTCTGGAACGAGGACCCCAGAGGGAGGGGCCTGACATGACACTGTTTAGAGTTTGCATAGCTTGGTACACATGTTCTAAGAACTTCCGCTTAACGGTTTCCTAGAAGCCAGATCAAAGCACCCCTTAGTGCCTGTACTCTGAGGGTAAGGCTCATCGCCACGATCTATTGCTGCTGCTTCTCCAGCTGGCTTCTGTAGAGACTGACAGAGGAGACAGCTTTGCAGGTGAGGACCAGGAGAAACTGACATTTGGGAACTCCTCATTGCCTTTTGGCTTTCTACTGAATATTCCTGTTGGATACAGATAGAAATTGTTAGAACTCACCGGTTATGGAAATTTTGTTAGGGAAGAAAGAAAGTTTTTCATTTAGTAAGATTTAGAAAAATGTCAAATACAGAGCAATCTGCTGGGATCTGTGAGAAATTCTTGATTGAGTGGAGGAAGGATTTATTATAAATTGATAAATAAATATGAAGAGACTAAGAACAGCTATTTGTAGATCTGTGACAGCAAATGTATTTGAGGCTGGAAAGAATATGCTAATTCAGGTAATATTTATTTGAGACTGTGTGTTTGTGTGTGTAAATATTTTATAGCATACTAAAATAGTTAGATTTCTTTTGAATTACCAATATCCAGATAAATAAGTTTCCCTACTTAAAAATCACAAAGATACTAAAACTTTGAAAATGTGAATTGATTACTCAAACCATAAAAGATACAAATTTTAAAACCATCATCAACTCTAGTATTAAGGATTCCTAATTAAAAATATTTACCATCATGTCTATGAATGTAGATAGAGGGTAACATGTCTCTGTTATGTACAATTTTTCATAGAGAGCTTTTTCCATGAATTGTGTTCTTTGGATAAATTTTAAACACAGAAATGGTTTCATAAGGAGTCTCCAAATGCCATTTACAAGAGGACTTTGCCCATGGCCAGCACTGGCAGTTCACCAGTGTGTTTCTGTTCCATTTCTCCTATAATACCTGAACAATATGTTTCTTTTTCAGGATGTGGGTGTACACATGCAGAAGCTGGTTCCAAATGTACTCAGGAATACTTGCTAGTATTCTTGCAGTACTTGGATATCAAACTTCAATTTGCTTCTTATTTGCATACAATTTCTGAGATTCTGTCACCAGCACTGAAAAAGAGTACAAATTTAAACAAAACAAAAGGAATACAAGTGAACTTTTCCAAACCCACTCTGCTTTAGCTCTTCTGTCTGGGACCTTTTCTGTGGTTAGGATGTATTATATGAGAGAAGAAAAATAAGCAGAAAAAGAAAGGAAAGACTATTTTCTTTTTTTGTTTATTTATTTATTTTTATTGGATATTTTATTTACATTTCATATGTTATCCCCTTACCCCATCCCCCACCCTATTTTCTACATAGAGAGTACAAGGGTCAGCGAAAGACCTGCCATTGCCCATTGTACTTGGTGAACAAACATAGGTAAAGGGTCACACAGAGAAGTCTCATTAGTCCACACATTTCCCAACATGTTAAAGCAACGAGATCAAAAAACAGGGTGAGATCTTTGTTCACAGGGCAGCTGGAAACCTAGCATTCCAGTGGAAAAAATGAGAGGTGGAGACAAGAGAAACCCTGGAAGCTCACAAGGCTACCCTTGCAGATGCAACAGCAAGAAACCGTGCCTCAAACAAGGTTGTCCTCTGGTGTCCACAGGCACTTTTACTCACATACATACATAAATACAAATGTGAACATGAGCACGCACGCACATAAACACGAGAGAGAGAGAGAGAGAGAGAGAGAGAGAGAGAGAGAGAGAGAGAGAGAGAGAGAGAGGGAGAGAGAGAGAGAGAGAGAGAAGAAGAAGGAGGAGGAGGAGGAGGAGGAGGAGGAGGAGGAGGAGGAGGAGGAGGAGAGAAGGAGGAAGGGAGGGAGGGAGGGAGAGAGAGAGGAAAGGAGGGAGAGATGGAGAGAGACAGAGAGGGAGAAGGAGAAAGAAAGTAAGATTGAGAAAAACTGCAAAAGATACTCAACATCAATATCTGGTCTCCATAGGCACCGGCACACACATACACACAACCTCTTTTGTGGTCCATCCTAGATATAAAACTGTGAAAGAAAGGGACTTTCAAAACAGTTTTGTTCAACCTCAAGCAATTAACTCATTCTAGAGGATCCCACCCCCACTTCCTACCTCCAGAGGTTGCTTGTTTCTATTCTTTCTGCTGGCCCTCAGGGCTTCAATCCTGTTCCCCACCTCCACCCCCACCCCCCAAAAAAACCCTGATCATGTTCTGCTTTTCGTCTCCTTATCCTCTCTCCCATTCAGGTCCCTCCCCCACTCTGTCCCCCCAGTGATTGCTTTCTTCTCCCTCCCAAGTGGAATTGAGGCATTCTTACTTGGACCCTTTGGCTTGTTAATTTTCCTGAGTTCTGTGGATTGTATCCTCGGTATTCTGTACTTTTTTGGCTAATAACTACTTATTAGTGAGTACATACCATGCATGTATTTTTGGGTCTGAGTTATCACACTCAAGATGATATTTTCAAGTTCCATCTATTTGCCTGCAAAATTCACAATGTCCTTGCCATTGTATAAATGAACCACATTTTCTGTATCCATTCTTCTATAGCCACTGGGATATCTGGGTTGTTTACAGCTTTTGGCTATCACAAAAAAAAAGGCTGCTATAGACATAGTGGAGCATGTGCCCCTGTGGCATGGTGGGGCATCTTCTGGGTATATGCCCAAGAGTGGTATTTCTGGGTCCTCAGATATATTTCCAATTTTCTGAGCAACTTCCAGATTGATTTCCAGAGTGATTGTACCAGTTTGCAATCCTACTAGCAATAGAGGAGTGTTCTTCTTTCTCCATATTCTCCACAACATGTGCTGTCACCTGAGGTTTTGATCTTAGCCATTCTGATTGGTGTAAGGCATAATCTCAGGGTCATTTTGATTTGCATTTCCCTGATGACTAAGGACTTTGAACATTTCTTTAAGAGCTTCTCTGTCATTTGAGAATTCTCTGTTGTGAATTCTCAGTTTAGTTCTATACCCCATTTTTGATTAGTTTGTGTGTGTGTGTGTGTGTGTGTTTAGCTTCTTGAATTCTTTGTATAGTTTTGATATTAGCCGTCTATGGATGTGGGGTTTGTGAATATTTTTTCCCAATCTATAGGTTGCAGATTTGTCATATTGACTATCTTTTGCCTTACAGAAACTTTTCATTTTCATGAGGTCCCATTTATCAATTCTTGATCTTAGAGCCTGACCCATTAGAGTTCTGTTTAGGAAATCCCCACGCCCCCCACCTTGTGCCAATATACCAGAGATCTGGGAGGTGAGAGACACTTAGGACTCAGAGGGAGGGACCTTAGATGAAATGTCCATCAGTGGAGAGAGGGAACTTGTAGAATCCACCCCCAGTAGAAATATAGGGCGTCAAATGGAGGAATGGAGTTGTCATCCCAAAGTCAAAAGCTCTGATCCAGAATTGTTCCTGTCTAAAAGAACTGCAGGGACAAACATGGAGAAGAAACTGAGAGAAAGGAGGTCCAGTGACAAGCCCAAATTGAGATCTAGCTCTAAAGGAAGCCCCAAGGCCTGACACTATTACTGATGCTATGATATGCTTACAGACAAGAGCCTAGCATGGCTGCTACCCTCAGAGAGAGGCCCAACAAGCAGCTGAAAGAGTCAGATGCAGATACTTACACTCAACCAATGGAAAGAAGCCAGGGACCCCTGTGGTTGAATTAGGGGAAGTCTGGCAGAAGCTAAGGAGGAGGGCAACCCCATAGGAAGACCAGCAGTCTCAACTAACCTGGATCCCCTAAGATCTCTCAAACACTGAGCCACCAGCCAGGCAGCATTCACTAGCTGGTCTGAGCCCCTCAACACATACAGCAGAGGACTGCCTGGTCTGGGCTCAGTGAGAGAAGACTTACCTAACTCTTGAGAGACTTGAGGTTCCAAGGAGTGGGGGGGTCTGGTAAAATGGGAGTAGGGGTGGGGGTGGGGATGGGGACATCCCCTTGGAGATGGGAGTTGGGGGAGGAATGGGATGAGGAACTGTCATAGGGCAGACCAGGAAAGGGATAAATGACTGGATTGTAAAAAAAAAAAAGATTAAAGAATAATAATAATAAAAAAAATAAAATTAACTCATGCCAAAACAAGACTATGGAGAGACTATGGCAAAGAGGACACTTGGTCTGAGCGGTTCAGACCCAGAGTGGGCCAAAGGTCATTCGTGTAATGAGGGCAAAATTAACTGAAGTTGAGTCAATTTGGCTAATACAAACTTTGTTCTTACAGATTCGTGGGGATAAAGTTCAGCTGTTTGTGAAAAGAAGTCAGCAGAGCCATAGAGAACTTTGTACAGGGTTATGGAAAGCGCAGCCATGTCTCTTATGGATCAGAGAACATTTTCCTTATTTTGTTGGAAGCTGTTAGAGGAAAGGGATGTTGTATGTTCAGCAGGGGAAGTAGAGAATTTGACCCGTTTCATTAATAATTAGTTTCTAATTGGTTAATGAATTCAGCTCATCATTTTTGAAGCAAAGAATGAGGTTTTTGGAGGGTCTGTATTTATCTCTGTCCTAGGTGAACATGGAGGACACATGGAGACCCACTTGGCTTGGAGAAGGATGTGCTTGTATTGTGCTGTTTACCAAATACAAATTGGGTTGTGAAGATTAGTCTTCCTTCCTTCCTTCCTTCCTTCCTTCCTTCCTTCCTTCCTTCCTTCCTTCCTTTCTTCTTTCCTTTATTTTGACAGAGATATATAAGAAGTTACTTTACAACATAAAGATGACATAACTTAAAGAGAACAGAAACACAGGGGTTGGCAAGCAATATTTTAAAAATGGTGCTGGATCCAGCTTGTTTCCAGACAGCTGCCATTTTCCCAAGGTTCCGACTCTGGACCACGGCTCTAGCTATCTAGAAACACTGGCCCTGGCATCTACAAGATGCCATCATGGGGGATGGCTCTGCCAATGCCTCACACTGTCTCCACAAAGCTCAACTGAACCCCAGACAATACCCACCATGCCTGTAGTACCAGGTAGAATGAGACTCTTAGAGCTTAATGGTTATCCAATTGGTTTATATATTTGGAAATGCTCAATTAATAAGATGCCAACACAATTAGAATTGTTAACCCAATTAACTTACCTAGATATGAATAACTACCTGAGACTGCTAGAGACACGTGGACATCTGCAGCCATCTTCTCTCCTCCTTCTCCCTCCTTTGTCTCCTACCCTTCCTCTCCTTCTCTCCTCCTGATTCCTCACTCCGCCTACCTTTCATACAGCCCAATCACCAAGCAATTGCCAAAGCAATACAAATGTAGTGGGAATATATCCCACTACACACAGGCAATTATGAATTTGCTCATAAGACAAAGGTGTGCAAAGTATTAGCAAAGATGGCACCATGTGCACCCTATCTCCCCATATCTTGCATTTGTCTCTTTTAAATCTCAGCATAACTTGCAGATGAGGGAGATTACATGAACATTTCATGATTAATCTGTGTGACTTTTGTTTGATTCCTCTATTCAGAGGTTTAAGGCCACGGGAATTAAAAGATTTAACCCATTTTATTTTTTTAAATATTGTTTTAACTTTTTTATTTCTTTTACTTATTCACTGTACAATCTGCTCACAGCTCTCTTCCTGGTCATCCAATTCCACAGTCTTTCCCCTATCCACCTCTCCTCTTCTCCTCTGAGCAGTTGGGGTCCTCCAGGCTATCTCCTCTCTGGCATATCAGGTCTGCAAGGCTAGACGTACCCTCACCACTGAGGCCAGACAACAGAAGAACATATCCCACAGACAGGCAACACTCTCGAGATAGCTGCCACTGAAGTTTAGGATCCATATAAAGACCAAGCTGTAAATCCTTACATATGTGTGGGGAGACCTAGGTCCAGTCTGTGTATGTTCTTTGATTTGTGGTTCAATCTCTGAGAGATCCAAGAGTCCAGGTTAGTTGACTCTGTTGGTCTTCCAGGAGGAGCAGAAGAGTCAACTAACCTGGACCCTTATGAGGATTTCTAAAACTACTTCTTCTGCTGAGTCACAGTGTTTGAGTACAATTCAACATAGCTAATCCCTTGAAAAGTTGATCTGTTGGAATACATGTTGGCCTTAACTGTTTGACCTACCTTGGTAATGAGCCCTGTGTGTTTTACTGTGAAGAGCAGAGGCTTTAGACTACTTTATCAATGGTTCCTGATTATAAATGCATAGACATGTGTTGATTGTTTTGGAGAAATGACAATTAGACTCTTGCATTATAAAATTATTATGTAAGGTTGTGCATTCTCTTTGGACAGAATATAAGCACTTACTTACAAAGTCAAATATGTGTGATGTAGCTCTGGAAATAAAAGATAATGTCATAAATGTGTACACTCACTAGCATGGTAATTTTACTAATGACTGCCTATATGCCATAACAGTCCAAGTGTCCATATGAAGATTAAAGGATAAAGAAACTCTGATTCATGCATACATGAATACTATCCATTGATAAATGTACTGCTGAAATATAAAAAACAATTTGCATTTGGTGATTTAAAAAGTATTCCTCCTCCTCCTCCTTCTTCTCATATCCCTGGGCCCTACACCAACTCTTTCTCAAATCCATGCTCTTACTTTTTATTACTATTAAATGTATGCACAGACTTGACCATAAATATGGAAATTTATAAACATAATCTCTGCATTTGTTTAGTGTTGTTCTCATTTGTTTAGGGCTGACCTCTTGGGATTGGGTAACCTATCTGGGGGCCTCATTATTGGAGAAGACTGATTCCTCCTTTCTCGTCAGCCATGATCTTCTATAGAGCTTCATCTAGGGAAACTCCTTGTGAGAATTCCTCCAGTCACACTGGCATGTCAGTTGAAATTGCCATCTTTTTTAGGTCTTGTTTTGATAACCATACTGTTGAGATTTCCTAGGTATAGCTTCTTTCATATATTGTCTTAGTCGGTGTTCTGTTGCTGTGAAGGGGCACCATGACGATGGCAACTCTTATAAAGGAAAGCATTTAATTGGGGCTTGCTTACAGTTTCAAAAATTTAGACTACATCATCATGGCAGGGAGCACGGCAGCATGATGTTGATGATCACTTCAGACAAGGGTACCTGTCCTTTTATCCACATAGTGAGAAGTTTAGTAAAGGAGGCACCCATGAAACAGTGGGAATCAATCTCAAATTATGAAATAGTGTCTGTCAGACACAATGTCAGACACAGTGCTGGAGGAGTAGATGACAGTTCTATGGGTAGCAGGGACAATAGGAGTAAGGTACTAGGCTTGGCTTGGATTTTTGAAACCTCAAAGCCCACCCCTAGTGGCATACTTCCTCCAATAAAGCTATACCTCTTAATCTTTCTAAATAGTGTCACTCTCTAATGACTAAGTATTCAAAAAATATGAGCCAAAGTTGGCCATTCTCATTCCTATCACCACATACATAGAAGACACAATCTCACAGCAGATGTTTTTAGCATTTCTTTATTCTTCTTTTAGGATAAGGTAGCTATCAAGATGCTCTATTTGCGAAGTTCACAGATGCTCCAGATGTTGGAGAGCTCCTTAAGGAAATACCTTCCTGAGTCTTTAAAGGTGAATGTGGAATGTTCTCAGGGAAATGGACTAGTAAATGTTTAAGAAAAAGGTGGGAAAGGGAAGGGAAATTTACTGAACTGTGTTCTGGGTCAGGTATCGCCTTTGTGACCTAAAATTTAGTTGATGTCACCTCAAGGCAAATGAGGCATGCTGTATACATTTAACCAAAGAGAAAATAAAGCTGTTATGACAGAGCAAGATCACATAGTGAATGGCAATGTGATGACCTTTGCTGACTAAAATACATTCTCTTGTGCTCACACAGGAATTGTTTTATATAACACTGGATATTTCTCAGAGTTGCAAATTGATAAAAGCAAGTGCATTAGTGTTTAATATTTTCCTAACTGATCACGTGTCTGACAGGAGGTTAACCACATGATTTTTTTCTCAGAACTAATAAATCAATTTCTGTTTTGCAAATTCTCAAAGAATTACAAATAATTTGGATTGAGCAAGAAATTATGTTTTAGGAATATATCAATAACTTTGTATAAGATAGATTTCCCCATAGCTATTTAAATACATTACAAATGGACTAGAATATTACTAAGGATAAAGAGTATCTTTGTATTACAGTGTAGATGTTAATTTATTCAGAGGACATAAAACCTGCTAGAGATTACACTCATAGAAATGAAGACACATGAGAACAAAGCAGTAAAACTGAAAGAAAAATAAATCTACAAGTAAAATTGAGGGTAATATTCTTCCTTCCATCATTTATAAATGTGATGGAAATTATATAAACAGAGTGAAAACCCAAGAAACATTAGAAGCTCACTGTATTAATTGCCACTTAAAGAATACTTTCCTTAACAACAGCAGAATCCCCATTCTAGTTGAGTATTCATAAGATATTGTCCAAGACAGATCCCCCACATACACACATTAGGAGTTTAAAATTATTCAAATCATCTTAAATGTGTTCTTAAAAGTAATGGAACTTGGTGTATGATTTACGCCCACTAATTTCAAAGAAATCACCATCATTCTGGTATCAAAAGCAAGGCTTTTACTGTTCCTTTGTAATGAGCTGACCATTCAGTTGTTGGAATATTTAGGTTTATGGAACTGTCTTCCACATGAACCAGGGAAACCCATTCAAGCTCAAGGCTCTGGTGGACAAGTGGCCTGATTTTAACACAGTGGTTGTCCATCCTCAAGAGCAGGTAAGTTGTATTGTGGAATGAATATGACTCTAAGTTTACAATTGATGTGTATCTAACATGAACTTGGAAATGTTCAGGCTCCAAGGAAACAAAGATGACCCCTGATGCCAGGGTCCCTCTTCTAGATGGAAACAAGATTAGCACACAGACTCTAAATTGAAAAAGCACAAAGAGAAATAAGAGATGAGGAAAAAATTTGAGATCAAAAACAAAAAAACAAAAGAAATAAATTCAAAATGTCAGTAATAAGCTCTTATTTTCTTCTCAAATGTAAATCACAAAGATCCAGGAGCCTTTAGGTCTCTGACCTAGGTTCTCTACATGTATATTATGGCTGAGTAGTTTGGTGTTTATGTGAGAATCCTGGTGGTGGGAAGTGAGGTCATGGCTGTCTCTGACTCTTTTGCCTACTTGTGGGATCCTTTTCCTCCTACTGGGTTCCCTTGTCCAATCTTGATGTGACAGTATGCGCCTCATCTTATTGTAGCCTGTTATGCAGTGTTTGGTTGATGTCCTTGGGAAACTTGATCTTTTATGAGGGGAGGCAGAAGAGAGGGGTAAGTCTGGGGGAGAGGGCAAGTTGTGGGAAGAGCCTGGAGAGAGAGTAGAAAAGTGAAGAAGGGGAAATTGCAGATAAATAATTTATATATCTGAGATATATTATGATATATGAGAGAAGAATTAAAAAATCAATTGCAATAAAAAATCTCAATCTAAAGATGAAGAGTAGATGTTAAAATCAAAAATGTGTGACCCAGGTATAGGGTGCATACAAGGGGCTATTCTCACTTTCAGAAAAAAAATACACTGGATATGGACAGATATAAAAAATGTAGTTTATGAATACTAGAAACATATAAAGCAAATATTAACAAAGTAAGAATAACAGATATCAATTCAATAAGTGTAAAGGGCATCAATAAAATCACCTTCAACAAGAAGCAGACAGGTCAACAAGGCATAAAGTGACTAAGAACACTGTATTTTGATTAAATTTTAGACAGAGTAGACTTAACACACAGCAAACTTTCCTTCCAACAACAGCAGAATACACATTTCCTCTAGGACATGTGAAAATACTCTCCATAATATTCCACACACTAAATTGAAATCATATTTAAAATCATTCCAGACTATTATGTTCTGAAAATACATATCTAAAAAAAGTTGTAAGGGGAAGTTTCTGACAATTTTATATGGAAAAAGAATGATCCCAAATAAATAGTTAACATTACATTCCAAGACTCTAGAAAAAAGAACACATTAGATCACAATTGGTTGGGGGAAAAATAACAAGTATCAGAAAATATATAGACAAGAGAATACAAAATCCACTGAGATGTTTTTTTTTTAAAGTTTGCTTTCTGAAAATATAAACAAAATTTGCAAATTTTTGACTAGTTTGAGGAGAAAAGAGAGAAGGCACATTTGAATGAAGTGAAAGTGAAGATACTACAGCAGACATCATAAATGAATTGAGACATGAACTCATTCTTACGAATATTTATATGCCCATCACTGGGTGATCCAAAGGATGTAAATCGTTTGGAAAGTTACATCCTACAAAGGCTGAATGAAAAACAAATACAAAGACTGAGGAGACCAATAACAAACAGAAACTAAAGAAGGCAACAAAAACCTCCAAACCTATTTCCAAAGAGGAGGCAGAAAGATTGTAAGAGCCAGAGGTGGTGGATGATCCCCCAAAACAACATCTTCCAGAAACAACGGGGGTGATACTTATAAGAACTCACAGAGACTGTGTGACAAGTTCAAGCCAGACAAAACCCCAGCATGGAGAAGGAGAAGCAGACAAAAGTCCCACCCCTTATCAAGGGTCTATTCACAATTGATACTTCCTGGGTAAGAGAAAAAACCCATTTTCTCCAATGGCATATTACATCAACCACACTCCAGACCACAGTCCTGATACTTGCCCAGTACAAAATAGACTCCATGTTTTGTTTTGTTTGTTCTGTTTTGTATGCTTTTTGGGTTTGTTTTGGTCATTGTTTTCTCTTTGTGGTTGTTCATTTGTTTGTTTTGATTTTTGTCCTTTTGTGTGGCTTTTTGAGAGAGAGAGAGAGAGACAGAGAGACAGAGAGAGAGAGACAGAGACAGAGATAGAGAGACAGACAGAGACAGACAGACAGAGAGAGAGAGAGTGAAGTTGGATGAGGTGAGGACATAAGAAAAGATCTGGGAGAAGAAAGAATATATTGTATGTAAAACAGATTCAATACATAATATTGTATAAATATTGTGACTATATAAAAAATATATACAATATATCAAAATATATTATATGCACAAATTTTAAAAATATAAAACCCACAAACAACGAAAACAACAAAACCTAAACAAGCCACAGTATAACAGCACATGGTTTATTGCTAATTACTACAAACAGTCCGAGAAAGGTCAGCACTAGGACTCATTTCTTATATCTTGCTATCTAACCCACTATGGTCTGGAACTCATTGTGTATTGCAGCCTGTCCCTAAATTCTTGATCCTCCAGTATCAGCCTCACAAGTTCTGGTATTACAGACATGCACCACCATGCACCATGCCTAGCTTATTACTATTTATTACAAAATATAGACCTAGATGAATTCTTCTTCATATATTTTATGAAGCCACTATCACTTTTGTAGTTATAAAAGGCAAGAAAATTGCTGGTCTTTTTTATGAATATTTATTAATGGAATATTTGATAAAATATTAACTATCTCATGAGGCTGGCATAGTGTGTGCAAATGAGACAATGTGGTCCATCACAATATCACATGGCCATGTCAGTGGAAGAGGAACATTTTGACAAAACTTATTACTCTTTTTGGCAAAACTTCTTAACAGTCTACTTATAGGAAGAAAGTACCCCAACACAAATGTAAATCTGTCATTTGCCCTAGTCATCCCTCTTCTGGGCACATATAAAAATGAAATAAAGTCAGGAAGCGCTGAAAGTATCTATATGGCTTCATTTATTGTAGAAGTATTTGCATTACCTAAAATGCAGAAATAACCTCGGAACCCAGAGATAGATGAATGGGCACAGATACCAATATACAGAACTGATTTTTTATAGGAAATGTTCCTTATCATGAAAAGATATCTTACTGTTAACCAGGAAGACACTGTGGTAAGTGAAATGGGCAGTCACAGAAAAAAAACAACACTCTCATTTAATGTTAACAATAAAAAATAATAAAAATAATTTAAAAGTCAGAAGTATAGAAAACCAAAGAGTTATTGAACTATGTAACTGATAGTTATGAACAAGGAGATACATACATAAGGTATCAAAGAGGCTTAAAGATCTAATACACAACATGAAATTTTACTGTATTTCCTGCTAAATTTGCTATTTCCAATGAAAGAATAATAATTATGTGAGGCAATAGGTTTGCTAATTGGCTTCAGTATAATAGTAAATATTTTCTTCTTACTATTATCATTATTATCATATGTATATTTCCATAATATCACATGTACCTTAAACATATACAATAGCACTTATTGTTTTAAAAAACTCATCAAACATCATACAATATAAAGCAAATTTAAATTTACTCAAAATATAAAAATGGAATAATAGTTGTTTTTCAACTGTGTTGACAAGATGGATTGTCATTGTAGTATTGCCTAGCTGCAATGGCATTTGTGTGCAATTTTTTGGCCAGCCTGCCCTAGCGGAATATTTGTCCTTCAGTGCCTTCTTTTAGGTTCAAAAAATTCCAGCTGTCATTTATAAACTTAGAGAAGAGCTTTTTGAACAAATTATGATTTTGCAAAATATATACATTTTTAACAAGGTGCTTTGTGCTTTACAGTTTAAAAACATCATGTTTTATTTTTATATGGCTTTAATGTGTATGTATAAAAGTCCATACACAAGATTATCTTGTCAATTTCACTATTGTCATGTTAAAAATATATGTATAGACTGGAGAGAAAGCTCAAGGGGTACATCCTTTGCTGTCCCAGTTTGAGGACCTGGGTTCAAATCCTTAGAAGCTGCATAAAGCTTTACACAGCAGTGCATGTGTGTAGTCCCAGCATGCTTACAGAGAGGTGGAACTTGGGAGACAGGGGAATTTCTGGAATTTGACAGGATGCTAGACTTACATTGGCATCAGAAAAAAAAAGTCCCTGTCTCATTGTGGACGGTGAAAAGTGGCCCTCAAAGATGCCTTCTGACCTGCATCCACACCCCACATTCCTGCACAAACATGCTGCACACACAGAGAGAGATAAAGCACACAATTACTTTGAGGCTCTTCGGAACCAGAAGACTTGTTCTTACAAGGCCTTTGACCTTCTCACTTTTCTTCCTTTTCCTGAGTATTACTAACTTAGGGAAGAATGTTTCAAAAACCATCCTTAATCGATTGTAAATCACAATGGTACCTATATATAAAATGTAATAAAGTTTAATAAAAACATTACCATAAATTGAGTGGAATTTTGACGTGGTTTAGTGATATTAATAATTGAGGAATGGTGCTGGCATGTGAAGAAAACATCACTGTTTTGTTTGATTTATGAGAGGAATTTCCAGCAAGGATAGGAAAGCAGTTCCAGCCCTAGGTGAAGCTAATGGCTACTGAGAGAAGGGGAGGTCCACGATCTTGTAGGTGACCGCACATCCATTCATAGCATCTGGACAGTGCCAATTAGATTCAATGGTCATTTAAAAAATATATGTAAAGTTGGAGAGGAAATATATCAGGAGGAGTCTGGAGGTGTTGGAGTGACAGAGTGGGATGAATATGACTAAATGCATTATATATACATATACACATACACATATACCTGAAATTTTAATTATTAAAAATAAGACAAAGAGTGTAATTAAATTTTAAAAAATTGAAATTATGTGATACAACCAATATTATGTATTTTATATTGACCAACCAAATAGGAGATGGCAGATGACCTTGATCACCATACCAACACTTACCAGATCTATTCTAAAGATCCTAAGCACTGTTTGGAATTCCTTGGCACACCAGATGTCATCAACTGGAAACAGCATCTGCAGATCCAAAGTAAGGAGTCTGGAATGTATGTTTGCTGCTGTGATCCTCTGTGTGCACATCTGTAGGATTACTCTTTATCCTGGCACCTTGCTCTGCAGCCTTTCTTAATTTCTTCAAACTTCCAAATCCTAACCTAGTGAACATTCTTTGGACTGTCTTCCATCACTTCTACAGTGGAATTAATTTCAAATATTGAAGACTATGGCATTGTTAGAAGAAACAGTGAACTAGGTAATTTTTGTTTAACTGAATGTATTTTGAAGGTGTATTCAGGAGCTCTGAGGACAACTAGATAGGAAACAGGGCTTGGCCTCTGACATGTTTCTGGTATAAGAATGGTAGTTTATTGTGACACAGAGTACCTGCCAGGTCACCAAAGTTTATATCTAATGTGGTTACAAGCATGCCCTCTGAAGTTAAAGCCACAGGAGACTTCATGGTTCTGCCTCCAAGTTGTGATTCTTGAGCAAATGACATTTCCATTACTCAGTATCTTCATATGTAAAAAATATTCTGATATTAAAAGATCCTAAAATGTAGAATCAATGACAAGATTAAGTGAGGCATAAGATCAATGCCTGGTCATATAACATATTCAAACAAGATTGGATACTATTTGAACATGCTCCTTCTGTTCATGAAGACATAGGGAGAATTTTTAGTACTCTGCAGTGCCTGAGAGAAAACATGTCCAGGGAATAACGTTAGGAATGGATACACAGGAGGTACAATTAAGGCAAAGTTTTCTGATTAAATCTTGTATACATGTTTGGACCACTTCTTTGCCCTAATGGACGGTTACTTATTACCTGTTTCACTCCTTTCTAGGTTCACAATCCAGACTAAATGAAGCAATAATGAGCCTAGCAGCTGGTAAGATGGTCAAGATCAAGAGAACACAGTGCATTCTCTACATGATGCCTGAGACAGCAAAGAAACTGGTTCCTTTCCTGTTGGAGGATGCAGAGTACTTAGATCATGAATCTGGCAGACCCCGGGCTATGTGAGTTGGATTGAAGATGCTTTGTTCCTCCCAGATCTCTCACACAAGTAGCTCCCTAACTTCTCTACCTACATAGCCTAATTCCAACATGATTGTTAAAATACATGTGTGTATATATATATATATATATATATATATATATATCACAGACGACATGATCTGTCACTGCAACTGCCACAAACAGTTCTTTAATTGTTTTCAGGTTTTAACAATTTTTTGCTTTCAGGATTGTTTTTTGGTTTGTGCATACGTGTGTGTTGATGTGTTTGTAAGTATGTGTACATACATGGGGAGGTGAAGGGACATCTTCAAGTGTTGTTTCCCTTAGAACCATCCAGCTTGTGGCTTTGTTTCTTTGCTTTTTTGAGACAAGGACACTTACTGGGAGTCATGTGGTTCGGATAGGCTGTCTGGTCATCCAGGTCCAGGAATACAATTGTCTTTAGTTCCCTAGAGCTATGATTACAGACTTGTACTTCCAAGTTGGTTTTTTTTTTTTAAAATGGGTCTTGGGATCAGATTGGGGACTCCATGAGCTCTGTGCAGCAAGCACTTAATTGACTGAACTCTTCCCTAATCCTATCACTAATTAACTCTTAGTAGATTTCAGTGAACTTCAAATTCACTTTGGTCACCATAAGACATGGACTAATCCCTTGTTGGACATCTATCCCCCTCCCAAAAGCACTGTCCTTCTGAAACCTCATCCTCATATGTTCACACATGCCTCTGGAAGAGTACATTTGTTTTTTGCTTGTATGAAATGTCCTCTCTTCCAATATTCATGCATTTTCCTCTCCTTTTTATGGCCATTGTTTCTCACAGTCTCATTTTATTTCTATTACTTCATTTTCAGAGAACTCCATCAAAAGATATAATTATTATGAGACTTTTTATTTCCTTTATTGTACTTTTATAGCTAGAAGCAGCTAATTTTTAAATATAACTACCTACATGTTGCTAGAAGCCGCTCACAATATTCAGAATTCCTTAAGGGCAAGAGTTTCAAGTAAGTAAGATGTGTCAGCAAAAGCACTTGCTGCGAAGCTGATGGCCTGAGTTCAATTCAGGGGTTAGTCAGGAAATCTCTGACTTTATTTTATGGTTCACAAGAGAAAGTAGGCTCTTATAGTGCAGTGGCCTGCTCACCATGAAGATGATGAAGAGTCTTACTGGACCAGAGTCTGGGCTTTCTGGTTATGCATCCTGAGTAGAGTATTTACCTCAATGCAGGAGTCCTCTTCCTTAAATATACATAGAAGGAGCTGTCTATGTACCACACTGTTGACAGTTTAGACTTTTTCTTTACCTTGTATTCAATATGGCAAAGGACTCTCAGAAACAAGTATTGAAGATTTCATGCTATGAGGTTTGGGGAGAAGACTTAGTCTGTTAAAGTACCTGGTATGCAATTCTGAAAATTTGAGTTAAGATTCCCTAGAATATGCATGAAAAGCCAGATGTGATAGTGTGTCAGTTTTTCCAGTGCTTCTGTGGTGGAGTAAAAATTATCACCCAGGATCACTGGATAGCTAATGAATTGATGAACTCCAGATTTAGTGAATGAGGCTGAACAAGACTGAGAAAAGCTCCCAACATTCACACACACACACACACACACACACACACACACACACACAAACACACACACACACACACTCATACATATACATGATTTCATGATCCTAAAGTCTTGCTTTGTTGATTACTAGTATGCGCTGTTGAGTACTTATTCTCTATTTGTTCATGTTTCCTATCCTTATGATGTTATCAACTGTATTTCCTGTGGGGAGTAAGTGGGTCAGAACAATGTTGATAACAGCACAGAGGTTTGTTTTTTATAAATATTTAATTGCTTTTGTGGCACTCTCCTGGGTACTTGTAAGACAAAACCTTCTATAATATTAATTTATGTCTTTTGATAAAATGATTATTAGCTATATCTTCTAACGAGGATAACATGGAGGCAGAAAGGCATTAAGTTAGGTTAGCTGCCTGTTCTCACAAGGCTAGCCAGACAGTGCTAAGCTAATGCATACCACTAATGGTGCTCTCATGCCTCACAATAGACCTTTGTGGGGAGGGTCAAATATTTCACACTGTATATAACATTTAGGGCTCCTCTTTTCTTTTCTTCCTCTCAGCGACCAAGAAATGTTTAAACTCTCATCACTGGACGTTGCTCACGCTCCCTTGGTGGATAAATTCTGGCAGTTTGGTGGTAATGAGAAGAGCCAGAGATTCATTGAGCGCTGTATCCAGATCTTTCCTAGCTCATGTCTTCTGGGACCTGAAGGGACTCCTGTGTCCTGGGCTCTGATGGACCAAACTGGAGAAATGCGAATGGCAGGCACAGTGCCTGATTACCGGGCACAAGGCCTTATCTCCCACATCATTTATGCTCAGACTCTGGTTATGGATAAACGTGGCTACCCTGTGTATAACCATACAGAACAAGGGAACAAAGTCATGCAGAAGATGAGTCATACTCTGCACCATGTCCCCATGCCCTGTGACTGGAATCAGTGGAACTGTGCACCTCTGTGATTCTGGTGCTCAACACAAGGCTGTGTTGACTAGGCTAAAATAAATCTGGAGGAGTGGAAGGTGGTCATAGAGAAAATATAGATTATAATAAACAATAAAGGGGTGGGCATTACTTGGGCTCTGGGAAAGCAATGTGAATGGCTAACACTATACCATGGTCCCTGCCCTCATATTACCTTTTATATCCAGCAGACCTGTAATGGCCAGACCTCTCCGCTGAGCCACCATCTTCGTTCAGTTTTCTACATTCTGGATATCAGAGACACATGTATTCAGCTGCACACTACTATCCTCATGTGGATTATTGCCCATGATCAGTTTTGTCAGGATGTGGTGCTGATGTAGGACTAGTGTACTCTTTTCCCCAGCACTCCTTTATTTAGGAGCTAGGATACTTCTCATCAACGGGTACTTTGAAATGATCACTTCACTAAAAGTCCTTTGATCTCTGTTTAATAACCATGCAAAATAATGCATGAATAAACACATGATAGTAGTTGGATGATACCTGGAAAACTAATTTTTAAGAAAATGCATTGTGCATGTTAAATGTGTACAACATGAGGCTTTGGAAGTATGGGTAGACAGTGAAAATGTTTTCTTTAGTGAAAACAATTCACAGATTCATCACCTCAGGTATTTACCATATTTTGATTTGATATTAAGAGTAGCTAAAAACCTCATTTAGTATTAATCTCATACAGTTCAATGTTATTATGATCTTCATGTTATAAATCTCTAGATTGCCTTAAGATGTGTAAAGTTTTGTAATTCTCTGATACACATATTCTTTCACCTCATCCTTAACCTTGGTGACTAGCATTTTGTTGTTTTAAATTCAATATATAGTTGAATTATGCATTGGTTTTTATCTGCCTAGCTTGTCTCATGGAGCTTATCTCAAATAGCTTGTCTCATCACCTAAGTTCATTCACTTTATAGAAAATGGTAGGAACTGGTTCTTGTAAAAGATATTATTTACATTGTGATACCTAATTTTCATACCACAGTTTCTTTACCCATTTGTCCCTCAACAGACATTTAGGTTACTTCTCCATCTTGGTAATTTATGAATGAAGGAGTTTGTCTTTATGAAATAATTGACTTCATTGCATACAAATTCCAAAGAAGGATTCATAGATAACTTGGTAGTGCTGCTTTTTATTTATTTGTTTTTGTTTTTATTCATTTTACATCCTGATCCCACCTCACACTCCCCTCCCTAACCCCCAATCCCCTTCTCCTGAGAGAAGAGGGGGCCTCCCATGGGTACCAATCACCCTGTCATATCAAGTCGCAACAGGGCTAAGTGCATCCTCTCCCATTGTCTGAGGCCAGACAATGCAGCCTAGCTAGGGGAAAGAGATCCAAAGGTAATAGTGTCAGAGACAACACCAACTCCAACTGTTAGGGAACCCACATAAAGACCAAGTTTCTCATATGCAAAAAATATGTAGAGGGTCTATGTCTAGCCTCTGCAAGCTCTTTGGCTGGTAGTTCAGTCTCTGAGCTGCCCATGGTCCCAGGTTGGTTGACTCTGTAGGTCTTCTTGTGGTATCCTACATCTCTCTGGCTCCCTCAATATGTCTCCCAACTCTTCCAGAGGACTACCCAAGCTCTTCATGATGTTTGGTGGTAGGTCTCTGCCCATTTCCATCCACTGCTGAATAAAGCCTCTCAGGAGAGACTTATGGCTCCTGTCTGCAAGCATAGCTATGATATCATTAATAGTGTTAAGAGCTGACTTTCTCCCATGGGATGGGTCTCAAGTTGAGCCAATCATTGATTGCCCATTCTCTCAAATTCTGCTTCATCCTTATCCCTGTACTTTTGTAGACAGGGCAAATTCTGGGTCAAAAGTTTTGTGGGTGGATTAATGTCCCCCTTCCTCCACTGGAAGTACCACCTGGCTATAGGAGGTGGCCATTTCAGTCTTCATATTCCCTGCTGCTAGGAGTCTCAGCTAGGGACATTCTATAGACTCCTGGGAGCCTCTTCCCATCCCAAGTAACTTGCTAGTACCAGAGATGTTCCCACCAATTTCCACTATCTATCTAAACCCCTCCTGACCCCCTTCCCCACACATGATCTCCACCCCAGTTCTCCTCTCCAATCCCTTTTTCCAGTCCCAATTCCCTCTTTTCATATACTTCTGGTATCTATTTTATTTCCCCTTCTGAGTGAGATTCAAGCATCCTCCCTTGGGCCCTCCTTGTTACTTAGCTTCTTTGGGTTTTCTTTAGGATACTTAGCTTCTGTGGATTGTAGCATAGTTATCCTGATCTTTATGGCTAATGCCCACTTATTAGTGAGTAGATACCATGCACATCTTTCTGGGTCTGGGTTACCTCAGTCAGGATGATATTTTCTAGTTCCATCCATTTGCCTGCAGATTTCATGATATTCTTGTTCTTAATAGATGAGTATTTCATTGTGTAGATGTACCGTATTTTTTATTGGCTATTTTATTTATTTGTATTTCAAATGTTATTCCGTTTCCCAGTTTCCCCTCTGGAAACCCCCATCCCATCCCCATCCTTCTCCCCCTGATTCTATGAGGATGCTCCCCTACTCAACTATCCACACCTGCCTCCCTGCCCTAGCATTCCCCTACACTGGGGCATGGAGCCTTCACAGGACCAAGGACCTCTCCTCCCATTGATGGCTGACAAGATCATCCTCTGCTACATATGCAGCTATGGGTCATTCCATGTGTATTCTTTGGTTGGATAGCATGTTTTCTCTATCCTTGTTTGTTTTTTGGTTGAGGGACATCTGGGTTGTTTCCAGTTTCTGGCTATTACAAATAAAGCTGCTGTGAACATAGTGAAGAAAGTATCCTTGGGGTATGGTGGAACATCTTTTGTGTATAGGTCCAAGAATGGTTAGGTCTTAAGGTAGAACTTTCCACAATTTTCTGAGAAACTGCCAAATTGATTTCCAAAGTGATTGCACAAGTTTGCACTACCATGAGCAATGAGGAAGTGTTCCCCTTACTCCACATCCTTGCCAAACGGTCACTTGAGTTTTTGATCTTAGTCATCTGACTGGTGTAAAATGGAATCTCAGAGTCATTTTGATTTGCATTTCCTTGATGACTAAGGATGTTGAACATTCTTTAAGTGCTTCTAGGCAATTTGAGAGTCCTGTGCTGAATATTCTCTATCTAACTCTGTACTCCACTTATAAATTGGGTTATTTGGTTTGTTGATGTCTAGTCTCTTGAGTTCTTTATATATTTTGGATATTGGCCCTCTGTCAGATGTGTGGTTGGGGAATATCTTTTTCCAATCTATAACCTGCCATTTCTCCTATTGATGATGTCCTTTGCCTTACAGAAACTTTGCAGTTTCATGAGGTCTCATTTATCAATCATTGATCTTAGTGCCTTAGCCATTGGTGTTCTGTTCAGGAAATTGTCTCCTGTACCAGTGGTTGAAGGCTATTCCTCACTTTCTCATCTAATAAATGTAGTGTATCTGGTTTTATGTTAAGGTTCTTGATCCACTTGGACTTGAGTTTTGTGCCAGGTGATAAATATGGATCTATTTGTGTTCTTATACACGCAGACATACAGTTAGTTAAACCAGCACTATTTGTTGAAGATGCTTTCATTTTTCCACTGGATTATTTTGGCTTCTTTGTTAAAAATCAAGTGACTATAGGTGTATGGATTTATTCCTGAGTCTTCAATTCTATTCCATTGATCAATATGTCTGTTTTTATGCTAATACCATGTGATTTTAATTACTATTTCTCTGTAGTATAGCTTGAAATCAGTGAGGATTATACCACCAGAAGTTATTTTGTTATAAAGGAATGTTTCCACTAAACAAGATCAAGAAGATAGAAATTAGAAAGGAAGAAGCAAAGTATGGCTATTTGCAGATGATATGATAGTATAAATAACTGATCCACAAAATTCTACCAGAGAACTTCTACAGCTGATAAACACCTTCAGCAAAGTGGCTAGATACAAAATTAACTCAAAAAAGTCAGTATCTCTCCTTTATTCAAATGAGAAATGGACTGAGCAAGAAATTAAAAAAATTTAGGACAATGAGGAAACACCATTCTCAATAGCCACAAATAATATAGACTATCTTGGTTTAACTCTAACCAAGCAAGTGAAAGACCTATATAACAAGAACTTCTCATTTCTGAAGAAAGAAATTGAAGAAGATATCAGAATATAGAAAGATTTTCCATGCTTATGAATCAGTAAGATTAAGATAGTAAAAATGGCCATCTTACCCAAAGCAATCTACAGATTCAATGCAGTTCCCATCAAAATTCCAGCACAATTCTTTTTTTTCTTTTTTTTATTTTTAATTTTTTCTCAAATCATAATTAATTCACACAGGTGTATAAACACAGAAAGGCAGGACGTGGGGAAGGGAATGACATTGGAGTGTGGGTGCTCAAGGGGAATACAGATATCTTCAGAACCGGGTATCGGCTGGGTGAAGGTTCAGGGGACAAGTCACCATGACTCTGCCTATGACTCGCTTGTCCCCATCTAAGCTGGTATTATTTGCCAAGGCTACCTATTTACAAGGTCCATGACCACTCAGGCTTATAAATTTCCACAAAAGCTGCCCGTTGACATTAGCTTATAGCCATCTGTTTCAATGTTCTTCCACTGAGACCCAAGACTTGGTGTTAGTATACATGTATGACAGGCCCACTGCTAATTTTAGGCCTATGGCTGATTTTAGGCCTACAGTGTGTAAGCAGGGCTGCCCCTGACATCTCCTCCCTTCTCTAAGTATAGAAGGGCTGTGGCAATTCTAAACTTGCGAAGGCGGGGATAGAGGCCTGACCTCCAGTATTTGAAGGGGACCTTGTAATGGCTCCAGTCCCCCTGTCGTTGTCCAGTGAGGCATGAGGGCCATACCCGTCCCTATGTCTTTTTCCTGGAGAGGGGATACTTTTGACATCAACTCCTATGCAGTCAGGCTTGTCCCTCAGGGAACCCAGATAGATATTTTTATCTTTTAATAATATTCCCTTGCAGTGCTTAGCCTCGCAACCTAAGCAAGAATTTAGATCGCCTGTCAGAGGGGGTTCTGGGTGGCCCCTCTCTGCTTGGTCTAGGGGCAGAAGTCCCCCCTTTTTAGGTTGGGTGGAGATGGGTTTTGGAAACACCCTGTATAAAGTAACAACCTCATCGTGAGTCTCGTGGTCCTCCATAGCTAACTTATGATAATGTATCTGAGTAGGTTTTGCTACCAAATTATTTATCTGTTGTATCACAGAGTTAGTCCGCCTATTTGAGAGCCAGGGACCAGCAGAATAAAGCAAAAAGAATCCAAAAAATGGTCCCAAGATGGAAGGAAATAGGGTTGACAACCTTGGAAAGGCTGCAAATCAATTCTTGTATCAGCATTCATCTGTCTCTTTCTCTCTCTGATTTTTCTTAGGCTTCACTACCTATTTCATGCTCTCTTTAACCCTCCTTGTCTTGTCTATGTGAAGGCAACCTTCTTCTTTGAGGGTTATACACAGTCAAGAGCTGTATACAGTCTTTTCTATTGTACTAGAGTAAATCAAGTCCAAAAAGGATCTTTGCGATTTTAGGAGGTCTCTTCAGACAGCGAAACGAGGAAATTCTTCAGATTAGTGATGTCAATCTATAGCTGTTTGATGTTCTTGTCAGTGGCCCTTCAAAGGTCTGAGTAGTATAAGTTCGGAGGCCAGCATCTGGATTAGAACTTCTAACCACAGACATCACGGGTGATTCATTTTTACCTGGAAAGGAAAAAGAAGAGGATTCTCAGGGAGATTTCTCTTCCCTGGATGTAAATTGTTATTCATCATATTTATGGTTGGGCCTGGCTTTGTGGGGGTATCTATTTTTTTTTTCATTAATCTTTTTGGTAGCCGGTTAGCTGTGCCTTCTGTGGTATCAGACAGGCATATCAGTCCTAGGCCCCATAAGGGAACTGGGTCTGGGCCATTCCCTTTAAGGGTAAGAGGGTCCTTCCCCATATCTGTGGCAAAGTTTTTTTGGTCTTGGTGGTCCCGGAGGCAGTCAGCAGCAGATTTGCTATGAGCTTTCAGCTTTAGAGAGATAAAAGTGAACAAGGCATGATGGAGAGTATTCAGGGGGACTCCTTCTGAGGGGGTACCGTTCCCTCTCTT